CATACATTTTCTATAGGGAAAATTCTGTGCAACTTCTGGCGCGTGTTTACTGTGAACACTGAGGCTGGACCCACTTTAAGTTACAGTTTTAACAGTGTAACAGTAGGCTGCTGTGGCTATTTGATCATCATGTAGGCCTACCAGAGTGCATGTAGGCCTACCCTACAGACAAGGAGGTGACTGAAAATGTTGTGTTGTTCCATGCAAGAAACCTCATTACAAAAATAAAATAAATATAATAATAAAATGCATTATTATTCACATACCATTATTAGAGAGATATAGACAAATTATGCTACCCTCCGTCTATTGGCTACTTAGCTTATTCAAGACAGTCTCAAAATACAACACTGCTCCTTTAAGACATAAAAAAATATCTTTACCTGACTGGCTTTTCAAAGATGGCTAGAAATGCACACATTTTGTGCTCTTGTAGGAAGCAACCACTCCTCCATTGTTGACTAGACATTGGCTATAACTGGGCTAATAACTCAATAACTAGCTAATAATATGACCAAATGTCCACAGGTGGTTACATGCAGCTCTCGCGTTGATATCAACGCTCGAGACCACTCATGCTATTAACACAGTCCTGTTCAAAGTGAATTGCTCGATCCATGTATGGCAATGGATATTTGCATATAGGCCTACTGCAGCTCTGATTTGTTATGGCGCAGCGGTGTGTGTAGAGTATAGGCCTGAGTCGTGCCTGTCAATGCAATAGAATCCTACTCCAATGCCTACAAGAAAGTATCTCGCACAGTTAGTTTTGCATACTAAGTCTTACATAGTTCGTTTTGTTTCGGTATGTTACATTGAAAGTGGCTAATATTGCGTTGATTCAAGCAAAATTCCCACAGTAGAGCGAAACGTTGATAGTGTTAACTAAATGGGAAAAACTCTAGAAATTTGAGTGATGTTCAACCTAGTGCTTCTCTGCCCAGGCTGATATTTCTTCTGCATGGCAGTCCGATGGGAGCTGTGCTCGGCTTAGAGGGAACATTGCTTGTACCTATCCAAACCTTTCAGATCTATATGTGTGTAATGGGTAGGGGTTGTTTCTGGATAGGAAAGTCAGCTCCACCTTGCCCTTTGTGTAGTTTCTGCCCTTTTTCCCTAAATGGAATTCAGCCCACCGCTGTCCCAAATCTATAGATGGAATCTACTGTATGTAATATTCCCTATTTCTGCATCTCTCCACTACTAAACCATTTGTTTGTTAGTTATACGCGTTATAATCGTTGTCACAGTGCAGTTAAAAGATGGGTGTCTGACTCATTTGTTGCAATGTCCTACATCTGTGTAATATGAATCATTCAAACAACTTATTATTCATGACTGTGATTAATAAAGCTCATCCTTTCTTCTTCAACATACAGTCCTCACCATATGGATTTGGATTTGGATGTCTTGGGTCGACGAGATGATAAATGGGTCCTCCAGAGCTGCCTGTCCTCCACTGCAGACACAATCTCCTCCTCTTCCAGTTCGGTGTTGCTCCTTAGCTGGTCAACGTCTGTGTTCTCTGACCTTCCCCTTCTTCTGGTACCGTGAAGTGGTTGCCAGATGATTAGTTCACTAAAGCTGTAGGTTTTAGTTAGGCTATGGAATACATTTAATTTAATTTCCCAGTATTTCATGCACTGTAACTGTCCAGCAGAATGTAGTGTAGCACTACTTCACATTTGAGTGTGAATCCCACTAAAGTGTAAAGCTCTAAATCAAAACTCCACCTTGGACCTTGGTTAAATAAGAAGTAGTGACACAACACAAGCATTATGGAAAGTGGTAAAAAAATAAATATATATAATAATAATAATAATAATAATAATAATAAAAACAATAATAATATTGTCTTATATTTTTTGACATTATATTTAGAGATCCCCCCTCACAGTAATCAACATGCAAAAGACACTCAGTGGCCAGTTTATTAAGTACACCAATCCTGACTCTTCCATCTGCATGATGCAAAAGGAACCGGCATTCGTCGGACCAGGCAATCTTTTTCCACTTCTCAGTTGTCCAGTGTTGGTGATTGTGTGCCCACTGGAGCTGCTTCTTCTAGTTTTTAGCTGATAGGAGTGGAACCCATTGTGGTCGTCTGCTTTATATCTGTGACACCAGGTGGGTGCAACTAATTATCAGGTAGAAGAGAAAACCAGCAGGCTCCGGACCTCGTAGGGTAAGATTTGAATACTCCTGCCCTAGACACTGTTGTCCATGAAAACCCCAGGAAGCCGGCCATTTCTGAGTACTGGAACCGGCGCGCCTGGCACCGATGATCATACCACACTCAAAGTCGCTTAGGTCACTAGTTTTGCCCATTCTAATGTTCCGTCGAACAGTGAATGAATGCCTCGATGCCTGTCTACCTGCTTTATATAGAAAGCCACGGCCATGTGACTCTGTCTGTAGGAGCGAACCATTTTTGTGAATGGGGTTGGTGTACCTACTAAACTGGCTACTCAGTAGGCTACAGAAGACAGAATAAAATATGTAAAAAATGAAATGTTCTTATTAGTTCAAACTATTAGGGGTAGGGAATGGCCGGCAGGGAAGTAGCTCAGTAGGTAGAGCATGGCGTTTGCAACATGTTGATGTCTGGTCGACATATAAACGATGTAGAATTTAGAATGTGCAAGACGTCAATGAGCAAACAATGTCTAAACTGCATCATCCCAATGTATACAGGATACATCATGCCTACCCACTAAGCACTGTGCTGTCTGGATCAGCTGTCTTTATTTGGTGTGATTTTTGTGCGGTCCGGACTAAATTTCAACGTCCATGGACAAGTTTGGACAGTACAGTATGGTAGAGAACAGCAGAGTACAGTTCATTACAGTAGACTGTACAGTACAGTACAATACAGTAGAGGACAATAGAGTACAGTTCATTACAGTACAGCGTACAGTGCAGTAAAGTAAAGAAAAGTAAAGTATAATTCAGTACAGTAGAGTACAGCACAGCATAGTGTAGCCTACTGTACTCTAATGTACTAAACTGTACTGTACTCTACTGAATTAAACTGTACTGTACTGAATTAAACTCTACTGTACTCTACTCTACTAAATTAATATCTACTGTTCTGTACTCTACTGAATAAAACTCTACTGTCCTCTACACTACCGTAATATACTGTTCTCTACTCTACTTTACTTTACTTTACTCTACTGTGCTCTATTGTATTGAACTGTGCCATACCATACTGTGCTGTTCAAATTTGTGAAACATAGCCTAGATGTCTACGATGGGTTCAGATTTGGTCTGGTCGGAAGTTTACATACACTTAGGTTGGAGTCATTAAAACTCGTTTTTCAACCACTCCACAAATTGCTTGTTAACAAACTATAGTTTTGGCAAGTTGGTTAGGACATCTACTTTGTGCATGACAGAAGTAATTTTTCCAACAATTGTTTACACACAGATTATTTCAATTATAATTCACTGTATCACAATTCCAGTGGGTCAGAAGTTTACATACACTAAGTTGACTGTGCCTTTAAACAGCTTGGAAAATTCCAGAAAATGATGTCATAGCTTTAGAAGCTTCTGATAGGCTAATTGACATCATTTGAGCCAATTGGAGGTGTACCTGTGGATGTATTTCAAGGCCTACCTTCAAACTCAGTGCCTCTTTGCTTGACATCATGGAAAAATCAAAAGAAATCAGCCAACACCTCAGAAATAAAGTCTGGTTCATCCTTGGGAGCAATGTCCTAACGCCTGAAGGTACCACGTTCATCTGTACGAACAATAGTACGCAAGTATAAACACCATGGGACCACACAGCCATCATACCGCTCAGGAAGGAGACACGTTCTGTCTCCTAGAGATGAACGTACTTTGGTGCGAAAAGTGCAAATGAATCCCAGAACAACAGCAGAGGACCTTGTGGAGATGCTGGAGGAAACAGGTACAAAAGTATCTATATCCACAGTAAAACTAGTCCTATATCGACATAACCTGAAAGGCCGCTCAGCAAGGAAGAAGCCACTGCTCCAAAACCGCCATAAAAAAGCCAGACTACGGTTTACAACTGCACATGGGGACAAAGATTGTACTTTTTGGAGAAATGTCCTCTGGTCTGATGAAACAAAAATAGAACTGTTTGGCCATAATGACAATCGTTATGTTTGGAGGAAAAAGGGGGTTAATTGCAAGCTGAAGGACACCATCCCAACCGTGAAGAACGGGGGTGGCAGCATCATGCTGTGGGGGTGCTTTGCTGCAGGAGGGACTGGTGCACTTCACAAAATAGATGCATCATGAGGAAGGAAAATTATGTGGATATATTGAAGCAACATCTCAAGACATCAGTGAGGAAGTTAAGGCTTGGTCGCAAATGGGTCTTCCAAATGGACAATGACCCCAAGCATACTTCCAAAGTTGTGGCAACATGGCTTAAGGACAACAAAGTCAAGGTATTGGAGTGGCCATCACAAAACCCTGACCTCCATCCTATATAAAAGTTGTGGAAATTGCTCATCCTAATATGTATATATTTCTTATATCCATTCTTTTACTTTTACATTTGTGTGTATTGTTGTGTATTGTTAGATACTACTGCACTGGTAGAGCTAGTAACACAGGCATTTCGCTACACCCGCAATAACATCTGCTAAATATGTGTATGCGACGAATTACATTTGTATTGATTAAAAGAGGTTTCAGATGTAGAGGCCACATTTGATTTAATTAAAATATATTTCATCATTACAATAACAAACATTTTGTATCTGGTTGCAATAATAAATACAGTATGCAATGGCCTTTATAAATACAAAAATAAATGCACTAAAACATTGTTAGGTTGTGTATAGCCTAAATCAGTCACATAATTATTCAGTATAAAAAATGTTTCTCCACAGAGTTGTGAATACATTACTACACAATAAATTAATACGTTCAAAAACAAATAAATAAACATGTAAATAAATAGTGGAATAAATAGATATATAAATAAATAATCTCTACAACACACACATACATAACGCTCATTGGCTACTTAATGTTGTGTCTAGTCTTCGTAGGTGTGCCAGCACAACTGTCCTTATGTCTTCCCAGCCGCTTGCGCTGTGTTTCTGCATACATTAAATACAATTGTTAAGCTTTTAGAATAGACACACGTTGTATCATCACAGAAATACATCCAGATTTGGTGAATGTACTCTCTTTGTAAAACAAATGGATCAACCTACCTCGCGTTTCAAGTAATTGTTAAGGAACTTGAAGTGAAGGCTCATCTTTTTGTTCACTCTTTTGACAGATTTTGATAGTCTAGTTTTCATAGCCTTTAGCTGTTGGAAGAAAATACAAATAATTAATTTAATATTGTGATTTGTTTAACATGTAACCACCTCATATTATAATCGAATAGGATAGGATAATGTTTTCTTTTTGCATTAATGTTAAGAGGCGAAAATCACAAATTACATACGCATTGGTCCAGCTCCGACGTCTGGCGATGCAGGTCATTCATAAACCTGTCAACTCCTTTCTGGTCCCAGGCGGTGGACTCATATTTACCACTGCTGTACAATTTCTTTATAGCGTTCAGAGTTTGCGAAATGAAGACAAGCTGTTCGTCAGCCTAGAAGAAGAGTGATTTGTATTAGTGCATGCCTTATGAATTGAGGGCAAATCTAAGAAAATTATAGCAAATTGCATATTCATTATAACCTAATTATATACAATGCATTCGGAAAGTATTCAGACCCCTTCACTATTTCCACATTTTGTTACGTTACAGCCTTATTCTAAAATGGATTAAATATTTATTTGTTTCATTAATCTACACACAATACCCCATAATATCAAAGCCAAAACATGTTTTTAGACATTTTTGCAAATGTATTAAAAATAATAAACAGTTTTTTCTTTATCGTTATGGGGTATTGTGTGTAGATTGATGTGTTCAAAAAACACTATAATATATTTTAGAATAAGGCTGTAAAGTAACAAAATGTGGAAAAAGTGAAGGGGTCTGAAGACTTTCCGAATTCACTGTAACCTCTTAGAAAAAAAGGTTATGGACAGAACAAAACATTTTTTTAAGAGTGTAGGCTATGCATATTTCTTACCTTAAAATTATCGACTTGTCTGTATTGCTTGTCAGGGAAAGTGATCTGAGTTTCTCGAGAGACTTCATGACCCTGAGATGCCAAAAAATAAAAACAAAATATTGTATTATTATTACTGTACATAAAGGAGTCAGGGAAATAAATGAAACATAGCAGCACATGAAATGTTGAAAAGAAGACAACAGCCCAATGACCATGAACAAGTGAATAAACATTACCGTACAGCATACCATTTTCTGAAGCATCGTTATGGTGTTGTTGCTGAACACTTGGAACATGCTCGGAGACCGAGGCAGTGTCCTCATCCAAGTGCATCCGATGGTTTTATGCCAGGTGCAAATCGTCAGGACCAAGCACATCCAAAGGCTGATTGAACCCATTTTAGCGTAGGTCTACTGTAGTTCTCCGTCTGTCCGCAATCAACGGTGGTGCAATCAACGGTGGTGCACTTCCGAAAGATAGCCTACTTTGTATTTAAAAAAAATAATGTTTTCCCCAAAGGATAAAGAGATAAAGTGTTCTTCCTGATCGATCAATTTCTCGAATTCCCGAGTTCTGCCATGCTACAACCTGTGTCGATCATTTATACAAAGATTCTGCACGGTGTTCCGAAAGTGAAAGGTGGAAGTCCCCGTAGACTTTCATACCTGAGAGTATTGTTTTCCGTCTGGAGAAAACGCACCGAAAGGACAGGTGTATCTCTCGAAGAATTGTTACGTTCTTGATTTATTTGCTATTTTATCATGAAATATTGGCCTATCAACCAGGGGAAGAAAAAAAAAAGAGATAAATTGACATGTGAATTCATTTTACTCAGACTGTGGCCTAAATAAATATCACCATATAGAACAAAACTGAGTTTGGCCTTTGACTTCGAAAACAATAGCATTTTATATTGTCTTTGCAAACGCAACACCTTTTCATTTTCACACAGAAACTATTGTCTCCAACTACGTTGTAACCAATTGCTTAAAGGGAAATGGTGGTTTGTGGACCACAACTGCCTATTTAAAGATAGAGATCAATCTTGGATGGGTTCTATCAGTTACACACTCAACATGACTTTATTTCGTTTTAGAATAAGATTACATTTAGTATAACATTTCATGCAGAAATTCGTCTTCATTCAACGGTTGCATCGCACCACACAATTGTACAAATTTGCTAGCACAATTCCAACAAATATAAGCTGTGTGCGTGTCTGTTTATTCAAATATTAGACACACTCATAGAAAATGGTTCAATATAGAACATTTAGGGGTGCCATATATAAAACAAGCAATATAACCCTTTTTGGTTCCATCTAGAACCTTTTTTTCAAAGAGTGCATGGCAATATATTTCACGAAATTACTTATAAAACATGTTTTGATAAACTTTTATGTAAAATTGTACTACAATATGCTACCCTGACACGTGTTTTCTTGGCATTTTTTATTTCTGAAAATGTCTCAGGATGCTGCCTATTTAGGATGCTGCCCTCGCATGCACACGAACTGAAATTCTGAAAGAAAAAACGATAAACGAATATATATATTTTTATCTTAAAAGAAAACATAGCATACATAGGCCTACATCACAGGTATAGGCACCCCTCTCAATAGTTTACATTTAAAACCCCAAAAAGTAAACCTAGGAGATGTTTTACCTCGCGTGAAAGAAAGTCGTCCAGCTGTTTGAGGCAGTTCTTAACCTTGTCTCCAATTCGAGGGTTAAGATGCAGACTCATGTTTTTGACCTGAATTTGTTTTGTAAACATAACAAAAAACTTCAGTATGAATGTCCTTGTGAATAATATTAATAACATGAATTACACGGATACTATGATTAATAAAGTAATAGCCTACTGTGTAATGCAATGAACATATACAACAACATCACCAAGAACGTACACATTCCGAATAAGTCATATTTTGTCGAGCAAGAAGGATTTGCAGCTCCCCTAGTGTGATGGTATTCCATTTCACAAGTGTCAGGTTTTGCTGGAAGAGCTCACCACCTGTAATGAAAATCACACCCCGTGTAACCATTTAAATCGAAGACTAACACTGAAGTTATCATAGCCACGCATGATGGCTATATTGGCTATTAAGCATCACCTATAATGAAAGCGTTGGACATTAGACCATTATCCATGCTGCCTTTTCGATAGCGCTGGGTCTCCTCCCCGACCACACACAAAACACCACAAAGCCATAACCCATTACTAAATTTTATCTTCTTAAAATGTGATTTAAAACCTAACCCTAACCTTTAACTCACTGCTTACATTGTGCCTAACCCTATCCTTAAATTAAGACCAAAAATCGCATTTTTGTTGTCATGATTTTTTATGATATAGCCAATTTTGACTCTGTGGCTGTGGTAACTAGTGGAAATCCCATTAACGCTTCCACTTTCGAAAACGAAAGTTTTTACATGCCACTGCATTTCGTCATCTATCCCAGCAGGTAGAAAGTTACACTTCACCTTTTTACATGCTGTCCAAACAGGCTCTGCGCAGGCGTCCGCGTGCGCATGTTGAATTTGTCTATCCCCACCAGATGGGTTCATGACATGCAGGTTAAAATACCAAAACCAACTGTGAACCAACAGTACTGAACAAAACAATTATCGCAACATGCAACAATTTCAAAGATTTTACTAAGGTACAGTTCATAGAAGGAAATCAGTTAATTTAAATAAATGATTTAGGCCCTAATCTATGGATTTCACATGACTGGGCAGGGGCACAGCCATGGGTGGGCCTGGGAGGGCAGAGGCCCACCCACTGGGGAGCCAGGTCCAGCCAATTATAACTAGTTTTTCCCCCCAAAAGGGCTTTATTACAGACAGAAATACTCCTAAGCACCCCACTCCACCTCCTCAGATGATCCCGCAGGTGAAGAAGCGGGATGTGGAGGTCCTGGGCTGGCGTGGTTACACGTGGGTTGCGGTTGTGAGGCCGGTTGGACAGAGAAATAGGCTTATGGTAGAGAAATAAATATTAAATTATCTGGCAACAGCTCTGGTGGACATTCCTGCAGTCAGCATGCCAATTGCACACTCCCACAAAACTTGAGACATCTGTGGCCTTTTATTGTACCCTCGCACAAGTTGCACCTGTGTAATGATCATGCTGTTTAATCAGCTTCTTGATATTCCACACCTGTCAGGTGGATGGATTATCTTGGCAAAGGAGAAATGCTCACCAACAGGGATGTAAACAAATTTGTGCAGAACATTTGAGAAAAATATGCTTTTTGATGCATATGGAACATTTCTGGGACCAACACTTTACATGGTGAGTTTATATTTTAGTTCAGTATATATTAATTTTGGGACAGGTGGAAACACACATGAAACATTCATGGACATTGAGCTATCTTGCTGTTGCTAGCTAATTTTTTCTGGGAGATAGAGCCCCACAGTGGAGGTGTCATAATACCTATGAACCCTAGCGGCCAAACAGTGAAATGGTTCCAATCGTTTTTCCACCATTAATTTTTCCCATAGGGGATTTTAGAAACACTTAAAATAAGGTCTGTGTTTTGTTTAGGCTTACCCTGGCATGACGTTTTGATAACCATGTAAATCTTTCTCGGACAAGGTGACTTTTAAAGTGTTTTGGGACTACACAGAGCATGTGTTTGGTGGTTGCAGCCCTGTTCCACATCTTTATATTAATTTATTAATGTATGCAAATACACCTTCTGTATAGCACAAACAATTTTCTTTATTTTATCATAAAAGCGTTTAAAAAATACCTGATATACTAAGAAAATGTATATATGATTGCAAGAACCAAGTACAAGATAAACATTTTAAATTATTTGTCTGTGTGCTATAATTCACTCAATATCTGATGGATAAAAAACTTTAAAAAAGTTTGGAGGATCTTCATCCGTTGTACAGCTGTTACATTTATTACAATAGGTTTTTCAACCTTTTAACAATTTGGATGACCAACCTGAGACGGCACACACCTTTTAAAAACAGCACCGCCAGGGGATGAGCCCATGGAGTGGCACCATCAATTCCCACATGACACGCTGAAAATAGCTGCCATATACACGTTCAGGATGCTCCAAAATGTAAATGTCCACCAATGATCTCAGCCAACCAAGGTAGTTTGGGCCAATGGGGAGCCACAAGGATCTACGACCAGTACTCCGGACACACCCTCTCCAGTGTGGGCTGAATCTCGTCCACAGGGGGAAATGCGTAAAGGAGGGTCCGAGTCAAATGGTGCACTTACGGTGCCTAGTGAAAGTCTACACACCTATGCAAAGTTTTCATATTTTGCTGCCTTAAATTTCTATCTAAAAAGGGATTTATATTGGGATTTTTACCCACTGATCTACACAACCTACTCCACATTTTCAAAGTGAAATAAAAAAATATGGAAGTTTTCTGAAATTAATTAAAATTAAGAAACAAAGACTTCTTGATACCTTAGGTCTTCACACCCCTAGCTGTGGTACCTCCAAAGACATCCAGGAGCAAATATTCTCATAAATAATCACAAAATGTATTGAATCTGTTTGCAAAAGCAACTTCCCCTGTTTCTGTAATGTCAGAGGATAGTGGAGAGTGAATTTCAAACAATGATTAAACCTCAGAGCCACCAATGAACTTTAAAAGCATGTGTAGTGTATTAAAGATTATGACTTTCTTAATGGAACCAGAGGATGTTTATCTTAGTTCAAATGTAGCCGTTTGGAGGGTGACGCCCCAGGGGAGACCGGTGATTGGACGAAAGTGGGAGCAACCCATTTTTGCCATTGTTTATAAGTAGGAGCTAGACAAAGGGGGAGTCAGAAGCATTCAGATTAATTTGGGACGGTGCTTCTCCAGACATCGCGGGTCTGTAATTTATGCTGTAAACTTGTGATACGAATAAAAACTTCTAATCACGGTACAGTCTAAGCGGACTCTTTGTTTGACAAGCAATAACCACCAACAGCCGACGGGACACGATACATGTCTGCGATAATATTTTTGACAGGCAGAGATCAGGTGAGGTTAAGAAATAATCCCAAACCCCTAAATATTTTGAGTATGGTCAAGTATGTTAATTCATCTCTGGATAGTGTATAATAGCAACCAGATACTGCAAAGATCTGGCCATCCTTCCTAAATGAGCTGTGTGAGAGAATAGAAACTCAGGAATATCACTATGATGCTGAAGATTATGTAAAAATAACTACAGTGTTTATTGGCTGAGCTGAGAGAAAACTGTGCATGGATCAACAACATCGCATTCACTCCACATTACAGGCCTGAATGACAAAGTGAAAAGAAGGAAACCTATGCAAAAATATTTCATTCTAAATCATCCATTCAGTTTGCAACAAGGCAGATAAGTAATATTGCAAGACAACATCGCAAATGACAACATT